CTGGTAGCTACCACCTGCCATTCTCACAAGTTTTGTATATAGAAAGATAGAATTATATATTTTGGCTTTAACATTTCATTATTTTCTTTCATATTTTATGCACCTGCCCCTTGTTTACATAATTATATTATTTGGGGAGTACAAATTCCGTGTGTGCACATAACTTCACTCAGCCTCTACCATAGCTCCAGTGACAGTGCCCTATAATCCTCTCTCCCTTACCCCCTCATGAAAGATGTGTGAGAAAACTTAAGTGACATGAAAATTAAGCCCATAAATTGTAATATCTACCTACAGTATTCATCAAGGTATAAAACAGAGAAAGTGAAGAGAAACACTCACAGAAATATTGCAATAGAACTTCACAAGTAGAAGCAGCACATACTATATCACTACTAATCAGTGCTAAATGAATTTGTGGAAGCACCCTAAAAATGTATATTTTTGAGTATGTGAGTGTGGACATTTGTGTGTACAACATAGGTTATTTTATAACTTTACTTTTATTGAAATATCACATAGGTAGATATATGGACAAATTTTCAACTTGATGAATTTTCACAGTAACTGCTACCATTTAACTGTCAAGTCAGGAAATACTTCTTAACCAGAAACACTTATCTTGTTTCATGTTCACAATCAATCTGTATTCCCTCCCTTTCCACAAAGGCAATTATTCTGATTTCACATACAAAAGATGGGTTTTGCCCAGATATTGAACTCTATATAATTGTAATCATCAAAATGGTATTTTATTTGCCAGTACTCAGTATATTTTTGTAATATTCATCTATGTTGTTTTCAAAGCAGTAGTACTCATTTTTCTACAGTATTCCATGTGCAAATAAATCACAATTTATTTATTCTTTTTTCTCATGGTGGGTTGGTTTCAGTTTTTGGTTATTATAAATTTGATGTTTTAGATATTCTTTCCCTTTTATAAAAAAAGTGAAAATATGTTTAGATCTACAACTCGATAGGGGAAGGTTGTTTGTGAGGTGCACATGTGTTGAACTTTAAGTTACAGCTAAAAAGATTTCCAAATGGTTGTACTAATTTTATACTCTTACTGGCAGTGTGTTAATGTTCCAATTTCTCCATATCCTTGCCATTTCTTGGCATAGTCTCTCTTTTTTGTTTTTCATTATCCAGTCATAGTTCTTTTTTTTTTAATATAATTTTAAACAAGATGGAAAGTACAATACAAAGAAACATTTCCTTGAATTATTTGAGAGTAAATTACTGATGTGAAGCCCAAATTTCCCCTGAATACTGTGGTGTATATTTCTTACCAAAAATTTAAAAAGAAGATTTCTCCTAAATACCCACAACACACTATCAGCATTAGTTATATTGTCATTAATATATTGTTACTACCTATTCCTCAGCTCTCACTCAAAACCCTGGCCTTCTATCCTAAGCTACCACTATGTGTAGTCACCCTTTTTGCTCATCTTATTCTTCCTAGATAAACCCAATGTAGGTGTACACTCTGCTCACACCATGTAGGTTTATACCTTCCCTCACCTCCACACCATGTCACACCCTCTGTGGTGATTCCCTTGTCATCTTTCTTGGACTCAGACATTCTCTTTTGGCCTACCTCCACTACAGGGACCCTTTATTTCTCCAATTACTTGAATTCAATCCTTGGTACCATGAGACCTTCTATACAGATAGTTCAGTGTGAGATTTCATGGTCACAGTAAGATGAGACTATCACTTCCACTTGGACACCTTTTATTTATCCCCCCTCTTGCTGAAGTTCCTTTCTATGATACTGCTATATATATATGTGTGTGTGTGTGTGTGTGTATGTATATATGTATATATATATGTATATATGTATATACAGCATGTATATACTGCTATAGATATGTATATGTGTGTATACCATCTGCCATATATATATATACACACACACACACATATATATACACACACACACATGCTCTCCTCCCACAAATTCTGAATATTTAGATATCAAAAGCTAGACATCATTTGGATGCTCTCCTCACTCTATCTGGGATCTGACACTCTATCTGGGATCTGACACATGCACTGAATCCCATACCAGCTCAGATTTCAACCCACACTAGGCAGTCATATAGACATCATGCATTCCTTAGTCCATCCAACCTAATGATTTTAGGGTGGAATTGTGCAAGAAGAGAAGTAAGGGAAGGGAAAGAAAAATCAGATGAAAGAAGACATGAGAAAGGGAAAGAGGAAGATAATTTAGGAAGTACAGAGTAGAAACACCTAAACAAACTAGAAGATGGGAGGAGAAGGGAATTGAGGAAGCACTAGAGGTAAAGAATCCAGGATTCCAAGCTGCTGCCTGAGTCCAGGTGTATAGCTGTGTAGAATTTGAGCACCACAAGGGATGATAGTGATTACCTAATCTCTCCCTCTTAGAGATTAGGCAATAGAAGTCTAGCAATCTATAAATTGAACTGAAATGCAGAAGGTCTTGTAGCAAGTCAGTGGCACTGGTAGGATTAAATTAGAATCTGGGTCCATTAGCTGCAAGCCAAGTGATGCTCCCCCACAAATGTGCTTGTGAGACTACAAGAGCCCTGCTACAAGAGAGGGGGGCAATAGTGCAGATCTAAGCCTATAGTCGGCAGTGCAGGTCTAAGCCACATGACTGACACCTCTGTGAGCAGGGTAGCAGATTCAGCTCACAGCCCTGGCTGTGCATGCTGCAGTGGCTTCTGCCCAGAGCAGACCAAATTGTCCAGAGACAATTTGGCTTGAGCATAGACTGCAAGAGAGAAGCCATGTGATTTCTAAGGAGAAAGGGTAATCTGATGTAAGAAGCACTCTAACAAATGTTAGGTATGTAAATGACAAAGCAGTTGTATCTAAACCGATGTTGTTAACTTGGAAAATTTACAGGATCATGAACAAGTTGACTTTGGAACCTGTGTCTAAAATAAGGGGAGAGGCATTTTTGGGTATAGCAGACAATGAACAGACATCTACCACCTAGTGGGGAATTTAGACAAACTCACAACAGGTCTTTAAATAAACCAGTCCATATGGATTCAAATAAGAGAAGGTAGATCATTTCTCAACTCACTGTTTATAGTTGCTTTAAAGTCAAACCAAATTGGACAAAGATATCATGCAATGTGTATGTTCCTGTGTCAGTAGTTTTCTCTTTTCCTTTATCTATCACAAGGGACTAGCAGAGAGACATTCTCTCCATTCAGTTAGTTTTACATCCCCCAACTTCCACATTTGTAATTATAACTCAGGAATCTTCTTTGCCTAGACAGAGATTTCCTTACATTAAAACAGAAAACTTTTCCCAAGTGTCCACTAGTTCATCCAGTAAGCAATTTCTTCATTACACACCAGAGGTCAGTATTGGCTTATTAATTTATATGAGCTATTAATTTTTATTTTCCCAGTTAATATAAATGAAAACCCAAATAACAAGGATCACTGCTATATTGGAGCTTTGGTATTAATCCCTAAGCAAGCATCATCAGGGTGGATATGCATTAGAATAAGGAAAAAAAGAAAACAAGGGGAAAAGTCATAACAACAAAAGTGGCTTTTGTTCTTTAGGAAAGCATTCAAAACTCATTGTTGGCATATTAATCAAGCTGCTTTTACATGACAGTTACTATTTTGTGTGAAAAACAATCACATGTGGCAGTATTAACTGACATGGTGCAACAGACATGAAAAAAAAAAAAAAAAAAAACTCTGTTTAGAGCCCAGGACACAAGAATCTTATTTAACTCTCAATACCTACTATGGTATACTACTTTTAGATAGCAAAAGGTTAGATGATTTGTACAAATAAGACAGAGGTCTAGCAAAATAATGATTGTGATCACCTCGAGAAGTTTAAAGACTCCATGGAAAGAAAACACTAAATTCAGATCTGATAGCTGTCCACTGATACATTAAGGGTTTTTCACAGGAAAAGAAAATATTTTTGTGTTGCTCAAGTCAGAATTTTCTAAAAACTATAGTTGTTCCAACCATTTTTGCCTAAGGTGCCACAGAAACGGTTCCAGCCTTGAGTATCAGAATAAACTAGATGAATGCCCAAATCTTGTACTTTGAAGGTTACATGCGTATGTGTGATGTAAGAGTAAACATTTTCATCGATTCCACCAAATTCTAAGCTTCTTTCAAAGAGTATATATTCTAAAAGACATCTGCCTCTAAAATACCCCTAAAAACTCCAGAACACATCAGAACTCATTATTAGCACCTTTAATATTTTAACTATATACTGCCTTTTGTCATCTTTGAGTCACGTACATTTTAGTATTATTCAACTTTGTTTATAATGTCTCATCTACTAAATACATTCCTCCTTTAGGAATACATGTTATTTTATCCTTTATAATAGTTCATACAATACAATTGAGTTAGTAGATACTCAGATAGTATTTGTGGAATGAATAGATTTCTTTATCTATAAAGTAATGAATAAAAACACCCACTTTCTCTGCCTCACTGAGTTGTTTTGAGGATCAAATGATATAATATGTCTGAAAGCACTTTGAAAATTATAAAGTGCTACACAAATGTAAGACATTATTATTTCAGAGGGGGTTCTCTCAGTTACAACCTTCCATGTCAATTTGAACATAATGGCAACTAAGGAACATTTTTAAAATCTTAATCTGAAAAGGAACTTGTCCCTTCTGGGCACAAATTTAAGATTCCTGAAAAAAATGTGTTGTTTTTTTTTGTTTGTTTGTTTCTAAATAGCATAATGAGTCATGATCTTTCAGGGAAAATGTTGCTCTGCTAGAAGTAATTCACAATGTAGAAAATTGCCCTTGTGTACTTCCAGAAAGGAATTGCAAACAAATGAACTATTTTGTCTTCTCAAGCAAAGGGATTTACTGGGCATGGGTGGCAGCTGTTCAAGTCCATCTGGTCAAGAATTCACAAAGATCATAATGTGAAACTAGCTCAAATGCAGATTTGCACAACAGCCTGCAAATGTGCCTTTGGAGACTAACTGGCTTCTCAGGCCAATAATCTGCATTTTTAAAAAGTCTCTAAATATGGGTTTATAGAACAACTTACACAGCTTTAAGGAATTATTGATGGCACACCAGGATAGTCATCCATATCACAGGCCTCACATGTTCTGTCAGCCTGGGAACATTAGTTTATAATCAGCATTGACCATACTATAATTTTATAGATAGGTTATTATAAAGGATAGCCATTAATACTATATACTAAGTCCCAGACATATAAATATACCAATATATTTAAATAAATTACTGATAATAAGAACACATCTCCCTTTGGTTCCGGTGTAGAGTGCATTAAGCCTTTATACCTTTTATTTTAATTGAGGTAAATTTAGTTCACAACTAATTTTTGTTTGTATTTCAGAGATATACGATCTCTCCATTCAAACCCCCTACCCAAGATCCAGTAGTCCTCTACCACAGTCTGTTTTGCTCCCTTCCCACTCTGTTCTCCAGGACCCCTCTCCACCTCCCTCTCTGGTAGCCTCAGTTCCACGGTCAGATGTCTAGAGTTTGTCATTGGTTTGGTTTTATGGGGCCCTTTGATTTGTTTCTTTATATTCCACATATAAGTAACACCATCTGGTATTTGTCTTTCTTCTTCTGACTTATTTCAATTAAGCTAAGCGAATCATAGCACATAGAGGTGCATATTTCCCTTTAAATAAGTGTTTTTGTATTCTTTAGGTAGATACCTAGGAGTGGAATTGCTGAGTACATACATTTTTATTATTTTGAAAAACCTCCATAGTGTTTTCCAAAGGGGCGGGGTCAGTCTACATTCCCACCAACACTATGAGGGTTCCTTTTTATCCAAAACCTTGCCAATATTTGTTTTTGATCTATTTGATATGGTCCATCCTAACAGGTGTGACATAGTATCTCACTGTGGTTTTTATTTGTATTTCCCTTTCTGTCTGTTTTTGATTGGATTAATTGTATTCTTTTTGTTGATTTGTATGAGTGCTTTTTAGATCTTGGATATCAGGCCTTTGTCTGATGTGTGGTATATAAAATTTTCTCCCATTCATAGGGTATCTTTTTGTTTTAGTGACAATTTCTTTTGCTGTGCAGAAGCTTTTTAGATTGATGTAGTCCCAATTGTTTATATTCTGTTTTTTTGTTATTGTTGTTTGTTTTTACTGTTGGCGATGAATCCACAGTCATCTCATAAGCCAATATTATGGTGTGTTTTGCCTATGGTTTCTTCTCTGTATTTTATGGTTTCAGGTCTCACATCCAAGTCTTTTATTCATTTACTCATTATGTGGAGAGTAAGATGGTGGTCTAGTTTCATTTTTTTGCATGAGGTTATCCAGTTTTCCCACAACCATTTATTGAAGAGACTTTCCTTGCTTTAGTGTATATTATTGGCTTCTTTATTATAGATTAACAATCCATATAGGTGTGGAGTTTATTTCTGGGCTCTTCAATTCCATTGATATATGTGTTTGCTTTTCCTCTGTACCACACCACACTGTTTTGCTTATTATAGTTCTGTAGTCTGTTTTGAAGTCTGGGAGTGTGATATTGCCATTCTTCCTATTTTAGTCAGCATTGCTTTGCCTATTCAGTGTCTTTTGTGGTTCCAAAAATATCTGTTCTATTTCATTGAAGAATTCCATTGAAATTTTGACAGTTATTGCATTGAATCTGTATATTGCTGTTGTTGAGATGACCATTTCAACAATATTAATTCTTACAATCCATGACCAGGGAATATCTTTTCATTGCTTTGTGTCTACTACTTCTTTTACCAATGTCTTATAGTTTTATATAGTTTGTGTAAGTACTTTACTTCCTTTGTTAAAGTTACTACTAGGTGTTTAATTATTTTGATGCAACTGTAAATGAGATTGTTTTCTTGATTTCTTCCAGTTCTAGTTCATTGCATATAGCAAGGCAACTTATTTTTTGTGTATTGATTTTGTGACTTGCCACTTTGCTGAACTGATTTATTGTTTCAATTAGTTTTATAGTGGAGTTTTAGGTTTAGGGTTTTCTATGTATGTTACCAAATCATTTGCAATTAATGATAATTTTACTTCTTCTTTCCTAATTAAGATTCCTTTTATATTTTCCCCTTGCCCAATTGTTCTAGCTAGAACAACCATTGCTATATTGAATAATAATGGTGAAAGTGGCTATCTTTGCTTTATACCAGATCTTTGTGAAAAAGCTTTCAGTTTTACAGCATTAGGAATCATGTCAGCTATGGGTTTTTCATATATATTTTTATTATGTCGAGATATGTTTCATCTTTCTCAGTTTGGGGGCATTTTTTAAAATCATAAATGGATGTTGTATATCATCAAATGCTTTCTCAGCATCTATTGATATGATTATGCTTTTTATCTTTCCTTTTGTTGATAGGGTGAATTACACTGATTGATTTTTGAATTCTGAATTATCCTGTGTCCCTAGAATAAATCCCACTTTGTCATGGTATACAATCCTTTTTGCATTGTTGAATTCAGTTTGCTAAGCTTTTATTGAGGACTTTTAAATCTATGTTCATTAGCAAAATCGGCTAGTTTTTTTTTTTTGTGTGTGTGTGCTGTCTTTGTTATCCTTTCAATTTTTTTTAAGAATAACTTTTCCAGACAAAATATTATAGGCAAATAAGAAGCATGATGAAATTTTTGCCATCAAACTTTCAAATGATATTTGAAAATATTAAGACATGCATAGTTCATTACTAAGAGAGGAAGGAAATATAATTAACTGAAAGTTCATAAAAGCTAAGTAAACAGGAAGTGAGAAAGAACGGATAGAACTATACAATCTACCTTAATAGTATATTATATTTACATAATACTGAATTTTTTGTAACCCTTTAATGTGAGTTTTCTTATTAGATTATGTGAAGAATGTTGTTAGAGTGTATATGTTTTATAGTTAAGAAAAATGGATATTAAAAGAGATTAAGTGACTGATTTTTGTACTTTCATTGTCTCACAAATACAACTGAAATAAACACTTAGAATTGTTGCTTGTGTCTGGGGCCATTGCTTCAGTTCTATTTACTACAAAGCTCTAGAGTTCTCTTCATTCACCCCACCAGCTCTGAGTGCTTGCCTCACCTTGGCCTTCCTGCCTTCTCTAAGACATTCATTCAGAATCCTTATAAAACTTCAAGAACATTAGTGGCTTGGAAAATTATTTCCAGACTTGTTTCAGATTTATTCTCTGTTAGGCTAGAACTGGTTTAAAGTTAGGAGAGAAGAGCAAAAGGTCAGCAAAGTGAGCATTAAGGTTAAAGATAGAATGAGAGGCAGCAGGGCAAATCCACATTTCCCTAGAATGTGTTAAGGAATCTTTGAGATTCCATCTCAAGTTCAGATAACATTCCATCAATCAAAAGTCATGCATGGCCTATTTTAACTCAGTATAGAATGTTTTAGAAATCGTTGGGCAGTCACTATTAAATCTCAGAGTCCCAGAGACTGTTCAATTGTCTCTTCAGTGACTCAGGACATAGTTGGGACATCTTGGCAGGCATTTCCACCAGAAATACAAATTCTAAACAATTCTACTACTCAGGGGTTAATTCTGACTTTTGAAATTTATAGTAGATTTATCACCACAATCTCCTTTCACCTGTTCCAACAACATTGCAATCAGTTCAGAAAACTGTTATCCCTTTAGGATATCTCGTTTCATCTAATCCAGAAGTTTCAAAAGAAGCATATACTCAATTAAGAGGTCCTGAAAGAAAGCAGTGACTGAAAGTACTACCTCTTATTTTATAATATCAGGGTCCAAGATAGATTAACTGGCGATTGAGAGAGCAGAGGCAAGATTCAGAGACTACCTATTATAACTTATTAGTGTCAGAAGACAGTCTTTGTGAGGTAAAAGATCAGGGTGACTGTATGGCTCTGACTTAAAATTCTCAGAAAGGAACTCTGGTCCAGGACTCACATGCTAACAAAATGCCTAGCATACAGTAGGTTTTAAGCAGATATTAGTAGAAGGAACGTTAATAGAAAGGTCATTGACTGACATACAGCACTATATCCTGGTGAGAAATGTTCTTAGAACTTAATATTAAAGTACTGTAGTTAAATTGCTTGTTTGTTTGCTCTGTCATCCAGAATGAATTTCTTCAATAGAAAACTGTGTCTTGTCCAGATCTATCTCCCATGTGGCCATAATTTTATCAGGCTTCTAAGAAGCACTCACTGTTTTCAGAAGGAACAAACCAGTTAAGTCCAGTTACTTGTTAGCGAATATGTCAGGGCCAGGATCCAGAAAAAGACTCAATTTCTTAATACAACCTAAATGAATGGATCCTGCCATAGATGTAAACAGAGACGAAGCACATACCCAATAGGATAGAATGATAGCAGATTACAATGAGGATAAGTAGATATCAACAAATGGTTACAAATGAAATGTTGTACTGTTTAAAGATGTTTGGAATATAATACAATTCATTCTTTTAGGGGTCTCTCTGGTGGCCTAGGAGTTAAGACTCAGCACTATCACCATTACTGCCTGAGTTGGATCCCCAGTGAGGGAGCTACCTAGATAGCACAGCAGACCTCTCCTGTCTCGCCCGCTGCTCCCCTTAGCAGTGAATTTCAGTAAATCGACTTGCTCTGCTCCCCTCTCTGTCTTTGGTGAATCCTCTTACTTCCTGCACCTCTGGCCTACATCCCAGCTATTCTATGCAAAAATAAATTTTGAAAAGTTCCTTCTTTTAAGAATGATAGCAAGTTGGAATGAAGGGTATCAGAGGAGGGTCCAAGCCAATAATCCAGGATCAAGGACTGGGTGTCCCTTCCTAAGAAAGGTCATGGTAGACAACAAGAGAAGAATTCAGGAACAGAGATAAAGATAAAAGCACAGTCATCAAACTCTGGTGCCTGGAGAACAGGCATATAAGATCTAGGAACAGACAGATGCATTTAGCAAAACTAAGGCACTACATTAGAGTAGAAGCAAAACAAACATAATCAAACCAGCAATCAGACATGAAGTCATGTATATCTCTTCAGCAATGTTTCAGGATTAGTGTTGAGGGTCAAAGCAGTGGTAGAATAGAAGAAGGGTTTTAGATGGACACATCTTGGGAAGGAAGATACTTCCAGAGGCTATAAACCAAGCTTCAGC